CCCCCCGTCCCCTCTGGGGACCCAGAGATAGAAGAATTTGCTCTTTTGTCGAGTATTTGGGTACCACTGACCTCGGTCAGTGGCGGAAAAAAAGGAAACAAAAGATTCTCTGCCCGGCCCTCCTTCGGGGGAGGGAGTGGTGCGTTCACTATCTCCCGAAGAGCAACTCCGTCCATCTCTGGGTCGCCTGTCTCAAGGCCTCTTGTTCTTTCGCTTACCACCAGGTCTGACGGGGGCCTGGACGGGCGGGGCGGCTGCCCTGCGACCGGCTCCACGGCGCAGCTTTGCTGGAGGCCGCAGGAGAGGGTCGGTGGCAGGGGGCCGCCCTCGGTGATGGCAGCCGCTGCACGCCGGGGCAGGATGTACCTGATGGCCTCAGTCTGCTTTGGTCAGCGGAGAACTGCTGGGCAAAGTTCTCCAATCGTGCAACCTTGAGGGCTCGGGACACGGTGGAAGTCTCCACTCGAGCCCTACCCCTATGGCGGCCCGGGAAAGCATAGCCATTATTTCTGGATCCGATTCAGGCATTGCTACAGTCCCGGGGGAGAGCAGCGCAGCCGAATCTTCCTCTCCAGAAAGCTCTGGCTCACCCTCCGATGCTGCAACCGACATCTGATCGTCGGGGGGAGCCTCGGAAGAAACAGGTGGTACCCCCCGGGAGGGTCCAGCCTGCTCTTTCGAGAGCTCCACTGGTTTCGAAGTGCCGGCGGGATGGGGAATCCGCGGAGGGGAATTCCTTACCGTGACCGTAAGACCAGTCCGCACACTGACAGAAAAAGGGCGCCCCCGGCTGCCACCAGAGGGAACCCCAGATCTAGGCAGTGGCACGGGCACTCCGGAGAGTGACCGACTGAAAGGGAACCGTGGATTTTCACTGGTATTGGTAACGAATACTGAAATTTTGGTACCGTGACAACACTAATTGGGACCATATCAGTTATCTGCTGACATTGTAGACCTTTTCTATTATCATATCAGTCAATATTGCACATTTAATTGTGCACGCTCCTTTGCCTTTTTTTATTTAATACATATGTGCATCCCTAGATTTTAATTTTGCATCGTTCTGAACAGAATCTGTATTTGTACATTCTTGACAGAACAAAAAAGAATAGTAAATAAATCTAATTGCTATGTGTTCTTAGTTCTTAACATATTCGATTTGACAAAATGTCAAGAATAAAGATGGATGATGTTAGATAACCCACCTTACCATGCACAGTCTTCTTGGTTCAGGCATGAGTTTGAAGCTCTGTTGCTTGTTTGCCATCTAACTCTCTACCCACAGGTCACATGAGTGATATTTTAAAAAAGGATAGAGGGTGTGTGGAAAAGAGAAACTTTTGAGAATTATACTTATGTCCTAGGGAACTCATTACTGCTTAATACATTATCAGTGCCACTGACAGTGGTGCATCCTGTTACAAATACATCCACACAACATTCTGTCTTTATGAACCTCAGTACATGCACACACACAGGCCACAGTGTCAGCCCCAAAAGTGCTATTTAAGGCACTGATAAGTTCCCTTTGCCACTGAGAACAGGGTCTCGCTGACACAGCACAGTAGAGGTTGCCATTAAAATTAATGTCCTGGGATTAGAAAGACACTTAAGTGGGAATTAATAACAGAGAACTTACGAGAGGGTTAAATGTGTGAATAATTGTGCTATGATGCTAATGAGAGAATTATAATGTGAGAAAACTTGTTGAAGATCTCATGTCTATCACTCTCTGACTGACAGGCCACTGGGAGGATTGCTGTTGATGGGAAATGCAGTCATACTCACAGCTGGCACTGGTCCCCTTTGACCCCTTTAGTGCTACAGTAGCATTTCCCTGAGCTGGAGTGGCACATGTTGGCGTGGTTGTTACATCTGCAGGCTGGAGAGAAGACAGAAGACGTAGATAGAGAAAAACAGAAAAAAGGGAAGAAGAACATTTTTAAAGGTATAGTTCACCCAAAAATGAAACCTCTGTAATTATTTATTTACTCCCATGTTGTTCCAAACCTGTTTGACTTAATTTTTTCTGTGGACAAGTGGGAAAAATTGGAGACTTTTTTCCCATGTAATTACAATGAAAGCTTCAATGAAAACCGACGTTTTAAAAGTAAAAGTAGTTCATCAAAGTCTTCAAAAATTTGCATATGAGGAACAGACCAAAATTCATTATTCACTGATTATCTTCGCTTTCATTGTGTTGTTATCAAAGACTATATACTAAGATGGTTCACTTGTATTACTTGGAATAATTGGTAGAAACTGCATGGCACAATATATGTGGCTCTAGTAGAAGAAAGTCCTGCCTTCTAAACAAAGAAGCCAACTGGCAATTGGAAAAGTTATGGCATCACTGCAGCTGCTGTAAGAAGCTCCAGAAACAGTTACCGTAGTTTCCTAAAATTCATGCTTAGGGACTGCACATTCACATTGGCTGGATGAACCTGAAATATACGCCTTTTTACCATTATTTGAATGTAACAAACAACATTTATTAGACAGGGAAATATCAGATTTTACTGTCAATTTGAAATATATTTTTGAAAAGCTGGTTTGACAAGCAGTTTTCATGATTTCTGTATTTATTCCAGGAGATTTGGTCTTGCATGCCCCAAATAACTCACTGGAGGCACTGCAAATATGGCCACCATGATGTGGATGACTCATACCAACATAGTCATGAAGAATGCCACTCACCTGAAAAATTCAAGGTTGCTCCTGAAGAACTGCTGAACTGACAGCATGAGGGGTAGCAAAGTTGAGTTTGCAGAAGCGGGCAAAAGTACATGGGGAAGCCCAAGTGGCAGCAGCACAGATATCCGCCATAGAGACTCCTCTGAAAGCAGCCCAAGACGTAGACACAGCCCTAGTGGAATGACAAGATATACCCTCTGGCAAAGGTTTTTTGGGCTTTCTTGTATGCCATAGTGATAACCTCCACAATCCAATTTGACAATCTCTGCTTTGATACAGCGGTTCCCTTCCTTGCACCACCATAACAAATAAAAAGCTTATCTGAGCTCCTAAGATGAACGGTAGCAGTCACATATCCCTTCAGGGCTCGCACAGGACACAAAAGGTGATTCTCTGACTGGTCTGACTGTGGTGCTGACTGAAAAGCTGCCAAATTGATTGACTGATTTATAAACTGTGGAAACAGAACTTTAGGTAGAAAGGAAGGATTTGGTCGGAGCACAACACCAGAATCCTACGGCAACCAACGCATACATAACTCGCTAACAGACAAAGCATGCAACTCACTTGCACGCTTAGCAGAAGCAACTGCCAACAAAAAGTTTTCAAAGATATCCATTTCAGATCAGCTGTCTGCAAAGGCTCAAATGGTGGCAGACAAACAAAATCAAGAACAAGTTTCAAATCCCATTGAGGAAAATATGGGATATGGGCTTGTCTCAGCCATCTTGCACCCTTCAAAAAACTGCACAAGAGAGTATGAGAACCAAGAGAAGAACCATTAACCGGAACATGATGCGCAGAAATGGGCGCAACATATACCTTCAGTGTGGAGGCTGTTTTGCCTGAATTCAAAAGATGCTGCAAAAAACTGAGAACTCCAGGAACTTCACAGCATACAGGATCTAACCTACGCTCCTCGCACCATGATGAGAAAATCCTCCAACGTAGAGCTGACATGTAGATGCAGCTCTGGCACTAGTTATGGTATGAGCTACTGCAGGCTCACAATCTTCTAAGAGGCAGTTGGTCCCAGAGGCCACACCCAAAGCTGCAGACGGGCTGGATCCGGATGCCTGCCTGCGCCATCCATCTGTGACAACAGATCCTTCCGAAGCGGAGACTGCCATGTCCTGCCCACCAATAGACAGAAGCATGGGAAACCAAGGCCTGGCTGGCCATCGAGGTGCTACAAGTAACACTCTGTAGTTGCACAGAGATATTCTGTATAATGTGTCCCACAGAAGCAGAAGAGGAGTGGACGCATAAAGCAGGCAGTTTGGCCACTCGTGAGACAGAGCATCCTGCCCAAACTGGCTGGGTGTCTCTGTTCTTGCAAACCACAAGCGACAGTGAGTGTTCGCCTCTGTTGCAAAAAGATCCACCTCTGCTTCGCCAAACTGCTCCCATATCCTCTGCACCACATCCTGTTGAAGCCTCCATTCCCCTGGGTGTAGAAGATCCCTTGGCAGAGCATCCGCTATCTGATTGCTTGATCCCAGTAGGTGAACTGCCCTCAATGATGCTAGTCGAGGAAGAGACCAAGTGAGTATCTAGTGGGTGAGATGCAGGGACCTGAGGGACTTTGTTCCACCTTGATGGTTTAGGTGGAACACTGTCGAGGTGTTGTCGGACCGAATGAGGACATGACGGCCTGCCAGAACTGGTAAGAAATGCTGCAGGGCTAGGAAAACTGCAAGTAATTCCAGGAGATTGATGTGGTCCCTGGACCGAGCTGGAGACCAGCGGCCTCAAACACCACTGTGATTCCATGATGCCCCCCATCCGAAGAGGGAAGCATCGGTCGTGACCACCTCTCAACGAGAAGGAATGACCCCCAGGGGAACACCTGACATCATAAACTCCCGACGGTTCCACGGTGTCAATGCCTGGATACAACTGCTTGAGACAACAATCAGCCGATGAAGATTTCTGGCAGGGTTCAACTGCAAACTGTTGTCCCACCGCTGGAGAGACCTGAGGTGAAGCAAGCCGAGTGGAATCACAGAAGTGGCGGCAGTCAGCATACCCAAGATTTGTAAACACATTTTGTACGGCAAACTTACACCCAGCTGAAAACAGGCAAGAAGCAGCAGAATACTGTCCACTCGGGCATGTGAGAGGGTGGCAGACATTACATGGGAGTCCAGTGTCATTCCAATATAAGTAATTGTTTGCACTGGATTCAGACAACTCTTTGCCTCGTTTACTGCAAGACTTAGCTTCTGCACATGCTCCAAAAGCAGTCTGGTGTCACGAGCAGCTTGTTTTGTCGATGCACACAGTAGCCAGTCGTCTAAGTAAGGCAGGATTCGCATCCCTCTGGACCTCAGCAGATGTAGAGCTGCAGTCATGCACCTCGTGAAGACACGAGGGGCCAAAGACAGGCCGAACGGTAGGACCTTGAACTGGTAGGCCGGTTCTTGAAACTGAATCGAAGAAATTTCCTGTGGCGAGGAGCAATCAGAACATGAAAGTAAGCATCTTTAAAATCTATGCTTGTGAACCAATCTTCCTTTGTGACTGAATGAAGAAAGTCGTTTGAACGTAACATCCGAAAGGGAAGAGTTTTTAGGAATACGTTTAGATGTCTAAAGTCTAGAACTGGACGAAAAACACCATCCTTCTTTGGAATGAGGAAGTAAGTTGAATACAAAAACGTCCCTTTGAATGCAGGGATGAACCTTTTCTATGGCTTCCTTCTCTAGCTGCGAACAAATTTCTTGAGAGAGGGTTTCTGAATTAACTGTATCCCTTATCACTGTGGGGATAATCCTTGAAAACTTTGGGGGCCGGCGTCGAAACTGCTGAGTATACCCCTTGCTCAATGTAGTCCAAACCCATGGATCTACAGTCATCTCCCTCCAGTACTGCAGGTGTAAACTCGAAAAATGATCGATCACCTGTCCAATGACTTCAAGCTTTGTGATTGCGACTTTTAATGGCGGTGGGGTGGGGGGTCTGACGTGGTCCCCCTGGCAACTGCCACTGATGAGGTCGAAAACCTTGAGTGTTCTCAGTAGCACAGGGCCTCTGTAACTCCTGAGGTTGTGGCGTAGAATGCTGGCGGAATTGTTGCTCTAGTATCGCAAAACGATGACGAGCCTGAATGCCCGGCACCTTAAAAACAGGATTGTGCTGAGCCTGAGTCAATTGACGAGTGGCCTCAGACAACTTTAACCTTTTTTCCAGAAGCTCTGGGACATTAGGTCCAAACAGGTGACCAGGAACAATTGGGAGGTCTCGTAGTGTCTTTTTACAATCCTCTGGCAGTTTCGCCTGGGCGAGCCACACTTGCCGGCGAGCTGCCAGAAGTGTGGCTGTAAGAGTACCCAGTTCGTGGGTGAAATGGCCCATAGCCAAAAGAGCAGTTTGAAGGAATTGCGAAACTGAGGGGTCCACATTTGCTGATTCGAGTGTGTTAGTTGTGGTGAGGAGTAATTGACATATTGTGTTCTCGGCATGGGTCATATATGCAGTAGACTCATATGCCTTTTGAGTAACGAATCTGTGCGACCGCACTGAGTACTGGGGCAATGCACATTGCCTCGCAGGGCTTCATCAGGTGACACCACGAGGGCAGCGATGGGTTGCTCTATTTCTGGAGCACGGCCAACCCTAAAGGTATCTGCATCCGCCATAGATGCCAGTGTATGGGCAGTCTTTGACCGCCGTTAGTAGACCCTATCAGAGAGTTTGAAAATTTTGCAACAAAATCCTTGCATGGCAGCATAGCAAAGTTAGACCCAGCTGAAGACTGTCTAAAAAAGACGTTGGACTGGGCTGACTGCACTGGCATGTTATCCAGCCCTAAACAAGCAACTGCCATCTGGAGCACAGCTAGAAACCCCTGCAGCTGAAAAAAACTGCATTCTCCTGGGTGAAAGATTGTACAGCAACACCTATCACATTCAGATGATCCTGGAAAAATAAGTCAGACACACTTGTAGAGAGCACGTCAAAGTCAGCATGAGATGGAGGAGAAGAACTAAAAGGTTCGTCATCCATTTTCTTACTGGGACCTTTCTCATCTTCTTGTGTAATAGCTACAGGTGAGACAAGCATAACAGGCTGGAGCGTCTAAAGAAGGCGTTTTATCTCTGACATTTCAGACAACAGGACAGCAACTGTCTTAGAAAGAGAAGCTTCATCTACCTTCTCGTTCCGGGATGTCGACTTCTTAGATGG